ACACGACCCAAATCAGAGCAAATTAAACTCCGTTCCAGACTCTTATTTAGGCAGAGAATCTCAATCTTTCCTGACAGATTTGAATCTAAAAGCACATGAGCTGGCATTTCTGCTGTCACCTTCCCACGTCCATGCCTCAAGAATGAGGCCAACTCTTAGAGAAGGCTGTGGGAGGAGCTGAGGGGGTCTCGGGTCCTGAGAACTCAAGCTGAACCTGCACCTGAACCCAGCAGTACCCCTGAACCTTTCTGCACACGAACCAATAAAGTTTCCTTCTTGCTGTCAAGAAGGAATGAAGATTGAGGGAGAAGCTAGGAAAGAAAGAAGGATTGGCCTCATAGGCTGAGCTGGAGAGGACACTATGGAGATGTGCCATACTGGGCAAGTTTCTTTCCAGTGGGAGGGAAAAAGACGGGGCCACTGGAGGGTAGAGGGAAAGAGAAAAACAGGCTCCGCTCTCCCAGGATCTGAGACTCCTACCAGAGTCTGCGCTAAAGCCTCCAAAGCCCGGGACCACATGCCTCTCTCCCACCCATGTTTCTGACCCATCCCCTGCTGTCCAACAATGCTAAGCACCTCTACTGCATAGCCTCTGCAAGGCAGGGTCTCCTGGTATTGACTGTCCCCAGGAGAGCAGGAAGGAATCTGAGCCCCGATTTGGGTGGGGAGAGGAGAGGGGGAATTCCAACTCCCTGGTCCCTGCAGACCCTCCAACCCCATCCCACCCACTTGTGGTTTGATCTCACCCCAAAGCACCATCTGCTCCTCCTGGGAAAGGACTTCTTTTGGAAAATCCTGCGGCCTTCACGACAGCCTCGCCACTTGTCCTATAATTTCGACTTTCCACCCACCTGGCACAGGGCAGAGGCACACCACAAGGACCAAGCAACCCCTTCTTGTCCCGAGTGTAGCTTCCTTTTTGTTGACAAGACCAGCTCATCTGTTACCTACGGGGCCCAGGTTCTCCCTTTAGGGGTGACAGTCATGGTAAATAAGTTATGAAAACTTTGAAAAAGCAAAAGGCAAAGGCCCCACCAATTCAATTTCATGGAATAAAATTGAGAAGTGCGATATTCAATATATTCCCTTAATCGTTCCCATATCAGTATCCTTCATAAACAATTGTTTGTTTTTCTGTTAAAAATCTGCATCCTCATCTTGCATCTTTCTTGACCATGTTTTCTGGATTTCAGTGCACTTGGGCTCTTTGGTCTGAAAAAATGCTAGTCTCTGTTTTAACTCAATCTCCTGTGCAGTAAAACGATTTTTAAAAGCACATACAGAAATAATTTGTTGTTATTACATAATAAGTCATACTTGAAAACAAAACCCACCTGGATGCTAATGCCTAACCATTTCTGTGGACAGCAGGAAAGCTTCCCAACACTTAGAAAGTAAGCAGCAGGCTGGGTGCGGTGGCTCACGCCTGTAATCTCAACACTTTGGGAGGCCAAGGTGGGCAGATCACATAGGCCAGGAGTTCAAGACCAGCTTGGCCAACATGGTGAAACCCTGTCTCTACTAAAAATAAAAAAGTAGCCAGCTGTAGTGGTGCCCGTCTGTAATCCCAGCTACTCAGGACGCTGAGGCACAAGAAGCATTTGGACCTGGGAGGTAGACGTTGCAGTGAGCCGAGATCACACCACTGCACTCCAGCCTGGGCAACAGAGGGAGACTTGGAAAATAAAGAAGAAAGGGAAGGGAGGAAGAAGGGAGGGGAGGAAAGGAGGGAGGGAGGAAGGAAGAAAGGAAGGAAGGAAGGAAGGGGGAGGGAGGGAGGGAAGGAGGGAGGAAGGAAGGGACAGAGGGAGGGAAAGAAGGAAAGGAAGGAAGGAAGGACAGAAGGAAGTAGGTAAGGAGGGAGGGAGGGAGGAAGGAAGGGAGAGAGAAAGAGGAAGGAAGGAAGGAAGGGGGAGGGAGGGAAGACGGGAGGAAGGAAGGGACAGAGGGAGGGAAAGAGGGAAAGAAGGAAAGGAAGGAAGGAAGGACAGAAGGAAGGAAGTAGGTAAGGAGGGAGGGAGGGAGGAAGGGAGAAAGGAAGACAGAGAGAAAGGAAGGAAGGAAGAAGGAAGGAAGGAAGGAAGGAAGGAAGGAAGGAAGGAAGGAAGGAAGGAAGGGGAGGAAGGAAGGAAGGAAGGAAGGAAGGGGGGAGGGAGGGAGGGAAGGAGGAAGGGAGGGAGGGATGGACGGAGGGAGGAAGGAAGGGACAGAGGGAGGGAAAGAGGGAAAGAAGGAAAGGAGGGAAGGAAGGACAGAAGGAAGGAAGTAGGTAAGGAGGGAGGGAGGGAGGAAGGGA